GAGGTAGATCTGAGTGTCATCAGCATAGCAGTGGAAGTCCAGGTTGAAGTGGCGGAGTATCTGACCGAGGGGGATGATGTAAATGATGAAGAGGAGGGGGCCAAGTACTGATCCTTGAGGAACGCCTTGGGTGACTGAGGCTGTGGCAGAGGAGTGGTTGGGGAGGGAGATCAAGTGGGATTGTTCAGTGAGGTAGGACTGGAGCCATCTGAGTGCAATACCTTCAATACCAATGTCCCTGAGTCGGGTGAGCAGGATGTTGTGGCTCACGGTATCGAAGGCTGCACTCAGGTCGAGGAGGATGAGAATATTGAGGGAACCAGTGTCAGCAGAGGTGAGGAGGTCATTGAGGACTTTGACGAGTGCAGTTTCTGTACTGTGATGAGGACGAAATCCAGACTGAAGGGGTTCGTAAAGCTGGTTGGTTTGGAGATGGCAGTGAATTTGTTTGGCTACAATGCGTTCAACAGTTTTTGAGAGGAATGGTAGGTTGGAGATGGGGCGGTAATTAGTGAGGGAGGTATCAAGACCGGGTTTTTTGAGGATTGGAGTAACGGCAGCAGTTTTGAAGGCAGAGGGGACGATTCCATGGGACAGCGAGGAGTTGAAAAGGTTAGCAAGATAGGGGCAGAGGACGGGGAGGCAGGACTTCAGGAGAGGAGTGGGTAGAGGGTCAAGGGAGTGGGATTTGAGGAACCGATCAGATGGAGTATTTCAAGTGGGGTAACCAGGTTGAACTGGGAGAGGCGGCGCTGGGGAGGAGGAGTCAGGAGGTCAAGGGAGATGGGGGGAGAAGTGGTAGCGGTGGAGGTTGGGGGAAATGCTTGTATATCAGATGGAGCTGAGAAGGAGTGGTTGATGGCGTTAATTTTGTCTGCGAAAAACTGGAGGAATGAGCTGCAAGTAGCGGAAGTAGAAGTAGGGAGGTTATCAGCACAGGGTTTGAAGAGCTATGTGGAGAAGAGGGTCCTGGGGTTACGGGAGGGGTCAGTGAAGATGTTGGAGAGGTAGGCAGATTTAGCGGCAATAAGAGCATCTTTGTATGCATTGAGATGGAGTTTGTAGCTTATGTAATGGACTGTGAGGGATGATTTATTTGAAAGACGTTCAAGTTGGCGGCCTCGCTGCTTCATTTTACGGAGTGCGGGTGTGAACCAGGGTGAGGAGGTCTTGAAAGTAACAGTTTTATTTTTGAGGGGGCCTAAAGTGTTGAGGGAGGTGAGTAGGGTGGAGTTGAGGTGGTTGAGCAGATCATCAGGTGAGCTGAGGGTTGCGTCCAGGGGGAGATTAGACGATAGCAGTTCGGAGAGATGGTTATGGTCAATGGAGTGTAGATTACTCCATTGACCATAACATAGTGATGTTTCTGGGTGGGCAGGGGTTTCGGGTGGGGGGGGGCAATGGTGAATTGTATGAGTTTGTGGTCAGAGAGGGGAAATGGGCAAGGGTGGAGGTCAATCACTGGGAGGTTGGTAGAGCAGACGAGATCAAGGATGTGTCCTTTGTCATGGGTGGGGAAGGTGACATGTTGGGTGATAGAGAAATTGTCCAGTAGGGTTGTGAATTTGGATGCCAGCTTGCAGGTGGGTGAGTCAATGTGAATGTTGAGGTCACTAAGTAGTAACATACGTTGAGGGAGGGATGAGGCAAGTGTGAGGAATTCAGTGAAATCGGAGAGGAAGGAGGGATTAGGTTTAGGAGGCCGGTAGATGAGGATGACTGTCAGTGAGGGAGGGGCTTTGAAGGCAATGAATTCAAAGGATGATGCTGAGGGGAGGGTTAGTTCTGTGATCTGGATGTTCTGATTGTGGATTACAGCAAGGCCACCACCACGGCGGGAGGGGCGGGGTTTAGTGATGTATTTAAAGCCAGGGGGGGATGTTTGATTGAGGGAGAAGAAGTCATCGGGCTGTTGCCAGGTTTCGGTGAGCAGAAGGAAATCAAGGGATTTTTCCAAGATTAGTTCATGGAGGATGAGGGCTTTCTTGTTGAGTGATCGGATGTTAAGGAGGGCAATGTTAGTTGAGTGGGAGGTGCATGGTGTGGTCACAGGCTGAAGAGGTAAGAGGTTGTCCAGGTTGACAGTGCGGGGGGAACGTGAGATGGGGGGGAGGAGCGGAGTGAAGGTGGAAGGAAGTGTGTTATTATCAGTTTTTGGTGGTTGAGGGCAGTGGAATCCACTCCAGGTATTTGGACCGGATCTGAGCAGAGGGCGGTGGAATCCACTCCAGGTATTTGGGCCAGCTCTGAGCAGAGGGCAATGGGATCCACTCCAGGAATTTGGACCAGCTCTGAGCAGAGGGCGGTGGAATCCACTCCAGGTATTTGGACCAGCTCTGAGCAGAGGGCAGTGAAATCCACTCCAGGTTTTCGGTACAGCTGGGATTGTAACGGACCAGTGGTGGGTGTATAGCATGGAGTAATAAAGGCGCTCAGATGACATGACAGTTGTGGGACATAGCGGTTAGTCGACCAGATAGATGACGTTATGGATGATTGTCCGGACTGGGAGTAAACAAATCTGCGTTTGGAACCTCTATGGACATACCTCGGTCTGCGTAGAAGCCCGAGGCATTTGATGACAGACAAGCTTAGAGGAAGCGCAGAAAAGTTATTGAGATTAAAAAGTTGAGAGACAGAGTATCGTAACATCGTAGTGCCGCGGTAGGATGCTAGCGTTAGCACAGCGCTGGCTTTGGTTGTAGAACAGCGGCGCTGAAAGTGGAGCTGTTGGCAGCCTTCAGACAGGATGAGAGGTCAGTCGCGGGCTGTCCTTTACAGCAGATGGGGGGACCAGCAGGAGCGAGAGGTTTAAAGAACCAGAGTCAGGACCCACGGGGAGGGGCAGGACGAAGAATGGGGCTGGTTATTTGATGGATGGAGCAGCGTTAGCAGGTGGGCTACAATGGCAGGTGTAGCAGGGTAGAAAACCAGAGCGTCCGTCAAAAGTGGCAATCGGGTGTAACAAATGTATCCAGATCAGAACACAAAAGCCACAGAATAGTTAGAAAACTATAGCAGTAGAAAGTGGTCAGAAACTCTTAGATTAACACAAAGAAAGACGAGATTTTCAAACAGAGAAGCGGCGAACAGTCAGCGCCAGCGTCCTCTCACGCCGAGATATATATCACCTCTCCATGCCTCAACAGCTCTACGTCAAATCTGACATCTCACCATATGCCGTTTTCATGGAAACGCATCCCTCGCCATAAAACACGATGTTGTCGTAACGCCTATGAAAAGGGTCAAAACAGCACCAGACTTCAGATAATGGTTAACCAGCCCTCAACAGCTCTACGTCAATTATGGGGTGTCAGCATATGCCGTTTCCATGGAAACGCATCCCTCGCCATAAAAGACGATGTCGCTATAACTCCTATGAAAATGTTCAAAAAGTGCTCAAACTTCACATGTGTGCTAACAGTCCAGCCTTGAAGCCATCTACGGGACAGTTTTGAGATTTCTTCAAATGCCGTTGCCATGGCAACACAATGCTCACCATGAAACACGGTTTTCTCATAACTTCAGTGAAAATGCTCCAAAAGGCCCAAAACTTCACAGGTTTGGTAACGATGCAGCCATCAACGCATCTAAGCGTATTATGGGATGTCATCAAATGCCGTTGGCATGGCGACAGATCATTCGCCATCAAGTTAGTTCAAAAGTTTGCAGTTCAAATATTCTGCTGCTTTTCCAAGCCTTTTTACTTTCTTTTCTTCTCTAATCACACATTCAAGCCCCCAATGTTCATGTATAATTTCAATCTAAATTCTTCACTTTCTTCTTACACATTACATTTCAGCATAGCAGTTTAGCGTCAGCTTTTCAGCATAAAGCATTCCCACTAGCAATTTCTTCAGGAATTGCATTCTCTAGTTGTTAATATTGTTTGATTAAAATCTAGAATACCCATAAAGTGGTGTGGGAATCCTAAAATACGGAACTTAGTAGCCTTTCACCACATCTGTTTTCTTTGTCTTGAACAGTTCTTTTAACATTGTTTTGTTTTTTTCTAATAAGGTCTGTGTGTTTAACGCAAGTTTAAAGAGGACATTATGCTCTTTTTCAGGTTCATATTTGTATTTTGTGCCTCTACTGTGACATGTTTACATGTTTTATTGTTCAGAATATGATTTCATTGGTTAGCCAGCCAGCTTTGTTGTGATTGGTCAACCGCTTAGTGCCTTAGCACTCACGTACGATGTGTTGGAACGCTAGCCAATAAAAGCAAGAGCGTTACATAGTGTTGTAACTATTTTCAGGAAGTAAACAAAGGAGTCCAATGGAGGCGTTTCAGTACGTGGGGGAGTGTGTGGGGAAAAGAGGTTGCATTTACATGTACAAAAACCTATATAACACACAACAGGAGAGGAAAAATCCCACAAAAAACATAATAGGACTTCTTTAAGAGATTTTCAGGTTTCGTTCTACGACATTAAATATGTCAGTAAACACCCCACTCGTGAATATCCGAAGCTTCTATGTGACATAAAAACGTAGGTTGCTTACAAGTTCCTAAATGAGACTACTAAACGTCATCATGCCAAACGCGAGTGCGCCTTTGGCTTAGTGGTGATGATGAAAGTTGTGTGACTGGGATATAGTCGGTTTTTAGTCTAGCGTTAGTGTCGTACTTCTAGCGAATGCATTTAGCTTCTAAATACAATAAAGCTGTCTTAATTTGTAAAGATCATCCTGCCAAGAAAAAGTTTAAATATCATAAATGGAAAAATCCAATGGGAAAATCCCATTGGTTTTGTCAAGGGAGCCCAAAAAAAACATGTCTTCACTGCACCACTCTATTTCCAATTAAAATAGAACTATGACATTTTTAAACAGTTTAATTCATCACTCTATTTGAAATAGAGTGGTGCAGTGAAGACATGTTTTTGTTTAACCTTTCAGTATAACTGTGTTTACTGTAAGTGTTTTGGATCGTCACAGCATAGAAAGATACTGTATCAAGCTATGGGCGTAAAATAACAATTACTGGCATTTACTTTGTGATGCGTAGTGTTGCTGATGTCAAGAAGTTCCAGGATGCGGGGTTGGTGCATCTCTTTTAGGTTAGCCAGGCGCTCCTCTGTGGACTGTAACATCTCCTGGGTGTACACAGATGGAGTCACCTGCAAACACAAAGCAGCTCATTGTGCTAACTGCACTGTTTCCTGTCTCTTCATTCAGAAGTGATGAGGCATCACATCAAACACAACTGATAGAGAGAAAGGAAATTGTGAGCACAAGAGCTGAAGACTTAAAGCTCTCAGCTCTGACACATATGTGCAAACGCCTGCATTAAGAACATTGACATCAACTGATGTAAAGTGCTCAAAGAATGTTAATAGTCTTCCCTGCAGCGAGGGCTATCCGCAGCTTCTTGTGGTTACTTTCCTCTCTACACAATCCTCTGACACCTCTGCACCAGAAGCAAAGAAACATCTAACTGCACTTAGCCTATTTCAAGGTTTGGTCAGAAGGATTTTTATCTTAAAATGAATAATGTAGCAGACGGAGTTATTAGGTTTTTTTATATATGCAATATTGAATAGCTGCCAGTTTAGTGTGTATTCATAATACACTCCTTTCTATTATTCAGAGACAACAAAGTTGCGCGAGTAAACACTATTTGTAAAAAGGCAAGTTGAGAAATAATGTTGCAAGATATGGGCATAATAGCCTACATAACTTTTTAACATAGCTGTAGGCTATAATAGTTGCCCTGTTTTATTTACAAATGTTACTTATTATTGCCATATTTACAGTATATTGTATTGTTATGGTGCTTAGCAATAGACATAACGTGGACTACAGAAACATTTAAGATATTATTTAATGCTATTTGTTTAATTATTTAATATGTATGAATTTGCTTCAGTTTCAACACCATTAAGTGCAGATGCTCATTTGGACCTGGGTAGCCTACAATCTTAGTAAAGCATACTGAATGTTCTACTCTTGTCACCTACTGTAGGTGCAGACAGAAGCACACACATAGAGAGTAGAGGCAACAATTTGCTGAGCCGAGGTCATTGCAACAAAACACTGCAGTCAGACATTGATTTTTGTTCCCTGTAAGGAGCCAAGGTAATTATTAGGATAATCTGTCATTTGAAGCAGCTTTATTTAAAAGAAAGGGACATTGTCCAACACGTGGGTGACAGGAAATTAAGCCCCTGATAATTCATGAGAAAACCTAATTCTGTGAGAAGTTGCAGGCTGTCATGGACATTATATCCTCACCTTTTTTGGCTTGAGAGGCACTTTGCTCCTTAAGCACGGAATGGCTGTCATTTTGACTGTGTTTAGTAGCACATTCACCTGCAAAACAATAAAGGTCAAGAAGACAATTGTCATTAGTAACATATAACTTTATATAAATTATCCAAGACGTTGGTTTACGTTAATATGCTAATGTAGCTAATAGGCTAACAGTAAAAAGGTAACGTTACTTTCCTCAGTAGCAAACTTATAGTCCTTATTGCAACAAGTCATTAAAACATATTCGCTACTTTTAAAGGAAATTAAGTTAACCCAAGTGTCTTAAAGTCAACTGATGTATAAGACAATTTGTTAGCTTACAGAAAATAACGGCTTCTTCGCATTTCCTAGGTTTTCACTCACCCTGGCACGCGCTGTTTACAGTACTTTACGTGATGTAAAATATTTGTTAAATGGTTAAATACTCCTCTTCCGTGACTTAACGTTACACTAAACTTACCAGGGAAACCTGTTATGTTGTTGAACTGACAAAATAAGTAATACAACAAGTACGTTATTAACCTACCAGTCCGTAGGTGAATAAACGGGTGATTTAGAACTTCGTTGTGGTTTGTTTCCTCGGCAACGCACTTAACAACGGCCTCCCAATAAACTGTTCTCTGATTGGCTGGAACTCCTTAAAAACCGAAGTAAATACTTGATTAAACCTTTTAAGAAAGGTAGAAGTTAATACATTTTGTGGGAGCACAAACCCGATTTGGAAACGTACAAACCATTTTCCTTAATGTGTTATTTCTTCTTAAAATAAATCAAGTTGTTTTGGATGAATAACCTAAATGACTGAACTGGATGAGTTCGGTAAAGTAGGAAATCTTTTTTGACGGATTTGAGCTTGACGGATCAGTTATGATAAATAAACCGTTGTTAAATCACCAAGAACGTCTTTTTACAACTGGGCAACAACAACATTTTCGTCAAAACAACAAGCCAATAACGCCGTCCTCTCATAGATAGATAAATAAATAGATAGATAGATAGATAGATAGATAGATAGATAGATAGATAGATAGATAGATAGATAGGATAGGTACTTTATTGATCCCAATTTGGGAAATGTTTGCCTACATGTGGAAATACACATTTCCAGTAACAAATATAATGCAGGATATTATTATTAACTCGACAATTATGAGCTGAAGTGCTACTAAAATCCCTTGACCCAATCAACCGGTTATGAAAAAATATATTTGTATTACTTAAGTGATGAGCAACTCGACTGACGTACAATGGTGTACTAGAACATAATCACTTCACTTCACATGATTACTTAAAGGGGACCTATCATGCAAAATGCACTTTTGTACGTCTTTTATACATGAATATGTGTCCCCGGTGTTCAAGGGAACTCACCAAGTGTCAGAAAACACAACCCTCTCTATTTTCCTCCATACCCAAATCTCTAAAAAAGGGGCTGCAACGGATCTGATAAAAACTGATCCAGATTTGAACACTGTCCTGACGTCAGGACAGTGGCGCTACGGCTATTGGGCCAACTCCACCAATCAGGAGGAGACAGCCACGGCCATTGCCGTTCGAAAGCGCTGGAGACGCTGTAGTACATATGCCAGGCCTGTAGGTGGTGCTGTTCTCACAGAATCAGCCCTTGCAAAAACAGAGCTAACATTTTTCAAATTGAGCGAAATGAGGCATGGCTAAAATGCATAATCTGTTTGGTATTTTGAAAATATATATATATAAATATGCCTTATATAGGTATGGTCCTACACTATATTATTCAAATATAGCATGATAGGTCCAATTTAATGATACTATACCATTCATTTAAAAACAAATGCTTTGAAAAATGTTGGTGAATTTTTCTTTTTGAAAGAAAAATATTCAAATACTCCACTGTTAGGGCTACACAGATCTATTTGAATGTACTGTGTCCTGTTGGTTATACTGCAGCAACAGGTTATCTTTCCTGTGTAAAATACTAAGTAACTCCACTATTTTAATATTGTAAAGTTACCAAAATCATGTCACACATTCATGGTCTTTTGCTGGTTATACCACACCAACAAGTTAGGAAACATTTATTTTTGCATTATGTTGGGGAATATTTACTCTTTGAAAAACTCATTAGCTTCGCTCTTATACATTGTATTGCCGGCAATAGCGATTAACATACACTTAAATGTTGTAGCATGCAATTTGGGATTGTAACGTATGATCAACTCACTTAATTATCTGTGTTCGTATCAGCCCTCAAAATGGATGGTTTAAGCCGTAAACAGGTAGTCCAAACACTTTCCAAGAGTGGCTGGAGTTGCAATCTGAATGGATTCAATATTTTACACAGGAAATATTCACCAAAACTATGAACAAACTTGTTCTTCTAACTTGTATAGTATAACCAGCAGGAGACCAATATTTAAAATCACATTAGATGATACTTGCCATCATATATTTATTAAAGGGCCCATGTCATGCTTTTCCGGTTATTACCCGTCCCCTTGTGTGTTATGAAGGTTTTTATGCATGTAAACGGTGTGCAGAGTCAAAACCCTCAAAGTACACCCTGTAGCGAGTAAAACTCTAACACAGAAAATACCTCCCCAAAACGCCTCGTTGGAGATACGTCACTGCCCATTTGATTCTTCCGGGTACCACATGATGTCATGCGGTACCCGGAAAAACAAAATGGACCAATCCGGAAGAGCTATGGCCACACCCAGCGGCGCTGGCCGCACCCTCTGCCAGCCTAACATTTACTGTTGGAAGCTCTGGTTCAGTTCACAATCGATCCAGTCATGCCAATGCCAAGGACCTGTTTCCTGAAATGTGAGGAGAAATCTGAGCTGTTTGTCCTACCGACGGAAGAACCACGACGAAGTCAATGGTTGAAATTTCTTTTTAACACTGTTCCTTCAGAGGTTCGAAGAACGTTACTGTGTGCGCGGCATTTCACAGACGAAAGCTTCCAAAACATTGCCCAGTTTGAGGCCGGATATGCACAGCTTTTGAAACTGAAGGACGATGCTATTCCTAGTTTGTTTGGACCGTTTGGAGCAGGGGAAGATTCGGGTACACAACCTGTAAGTTTGCATTGTTATTTGTGTATTTATCAAACAAGGTATCTACCACGACTGTTTAAATGTGTAAACGTGTTTCGGACTGCTAACTGGGCTAACTAAGTTGCTAGCATTTCCATATATCAACTCCAATATCAGCAGATGGCCTTACATACATGTATCTCATAGCAGGAGAATGTCTGCATTCACACACGAAATACTCATAGAGAGTATACTCCGGGTGCTTTACCGTACGGTCAGCGTGTATGCTACCGAGCTAAACAACAAGGCTACTAAGAGCTAGACATGAGTTTGCTCGGAAAAACATTGTTTTTATGCCAGCTACAATGAATGTAGCAGACTACCCATATAAGATTGCAATTGTAAACATGTGCTTGATAGCCTAATATGAACCACTATCTGTTGTTCATAGTATAGTATAGCATATTACACTGAACAACTAGCAAACGTAGATTAGCATTGTAATCCAGCTGGCAAGCTGACAAACATCAAACAACTAAGTTTCAATAATATTTTGTGATTGCTAACGACGTTGCTAGCGTTTAAATATATCAACTACAATGTCAGCAGATGGCCTTACATGTTTGTCATGGCAGGAGAATGTCTGCAGTCACACACAGAACACTCATACAGTATACTCCGGGTGATTTACCGTACATTGTGACAGTACATGTACATACTGCATGTATAGCTAACGAGGCTAGCTATACATGCTAGCGGAAAACAATGTATTCATGCCAGTTACAATGAATGACCGAACGTAGCAGACTACCCGTATAAGATTGCAATTATAAACACGTTATTGCTAACCTAATATGAAGCACTAGCTTTTGTTCATAGTAGTTATTACACTACATTATAGTTGCCGTTCCTCCAAAGCTACCGTTCATATCGTGTTTGCTACCAAGGTAAACAAGAAAGCTAGGTTAGCATATTAGCTGGCAAGCTTACTGTGTTGATTAGATAGATGGATTAGATAGATCCACACTCCTACCACAACTACTACTAACGAATCTAAAACAACTAAGTTTCTCTAATATTTTGTGATTTGCATTTGATTTCGTCCAGCCAGACGGACAATACATGATGGGGACGGGACTACCACACTGAGGCCTCGTCCTAAAAAGCCCCGGCTGCGATAGGCAAGATGCCGACAACGGGGAGGAATGGATGATATACCGTGTATATATGTATATTTATGTTCATTTTGTACATTTCTAAAAATAAAGTTTAATGGAAATACTTAGTAGGCCTATCCTTTCTTCCCTGAATTATTTGCTCCTATAACATATCATTCATATATAGCAAACCGTGATTTGATTTCTCATCAAACAGTAGTAGTTTATTACAGGTAAAAATAACTTACTCTTCTATAACAACAGTTGTAGGTACAGTTCGGTTAGTTAGCGTATAAAATATACGGCTGTACCGACGCCATTATAAGACTGATGTTCCGCTCAGATCGAGCCGAAAAAAGCACTGTTAGACATGGGCGGAGCCTCTCTGGTGGTTGACTAATCAGAACAGAGTGGCCGAGCTGACCAATCGGAGCACACTAGGCTCACAGGGAGGGGGGGGTAAGAGCTCCAACGAGCCGTTTAGTGGAGAGAGTGAATACTGCTGAATACACATACTTTACAGAGATGCTGTATGCGAAACCAATGTGAGTTTGGAAAATTGCACAGTATAAATGTATTTTAGTATACCTCAACAATGGAATTATGATCAGTGGAAATGGCCATGACATGGGTCCTTTAAATGAACTTCTCCTTTTCTGTCTCCCCCTCACATTCAAGGAACAGGCACACACACTCCCACACAAAACCAGAAATAAATGAGCACTGTTTTTATCCGTGCATGTGTTCAAGAGGGTCATTTTAAGGATAAGTTGAACTACAAAAGGGATTTGAAAGTCTAGTGAGCAAGGTGTCAGGGAAGGAATTCATAATTGAATTTACGACTTTACAAATCCACCTATTTATCCCTCTTGACTGACTGTGTTCCTGACCTATGTATTTGGACTGATATCTTATAGGTTACTAATCTCTGACCCCGATCACCACTGATAGATATTTTCCCACAGTCCCCTTTCTGGAAATGTGTTATTATCCTTGCAAGAATGGAAGTAGTCATCACATACAGAGCATATGGTACAACTAGTTCCTGAACAGTGTCCTTCAAATTCTTATATACAAGAGAGGGTGTTCCTGGTTCAAAGCAGTATATAATGTTTTGTTTAGATTAGCTAAAACCCACGTCAGAAATGATCATGCTTGTCATATGTCTATCTCCATAGACAGAATGTCTTTTTTGTTTGCAGTATATTGTCAGTGACTGAAATATCCAGTCATTTTAGTTTATATTTTGATACTGTTCCACTGCTTTGTGTCAGTAAGGAAAGTCAAATACCAGTATAAAAGCCTTCTCTATATCGGCAGTAACAACATTCATGATTTGTTTTTGGTTAATTACTAGTCAGATTTAAGAGCAAAGTGCTGCCACTCCAGGAAAAAAAAGAAAATTAGCTTGTTGTAACTTTAAAATGATGATGTCATAGTCCAAGTGCATTTTATAATAGCAAGATGTTTTAATGTTTTTACAACATGCAAACTCACCATTTTATAACAAGAAACTTTTCCTACAATGTATTTGTATCTTATAACGTGAAACCTTTCAAGATGAACAGTAAGTGATCATATAAGACAAAAAGCAACTACAAGAGAAATAGTATATTCTTATAACAAGTTTTTGTTTCTTTATTCTTAAACAAGTTAAAATCCTGTAATTCCAAGAAACGGTATTGAGGACATGAACTCAGTGTTGCCTACTCATTAACAGAGTTATAAAGTAAAATTATAGTTTTACCACACTGCTAGTAGATGTTCAAATAGTGTATATATGTGTTTTATCACACCACTTTGGTTAATAGTTCTCTTGAATTATTCTAACAGTCATATTACAGCTGTTGGTTTACGTGCTTTCACTGTTGTCACTTCCATTATTGTCTTTTAACCCATGAGTCAGCATTTTGAATCGTTGTGCAGCATGTGTGTGTGTGTGTGTGTGTGTGTGTGTGTGTGTGTGTGTGTGTGTGTGTGTGTGTGTGTGTGTGTGTGTGTGTGTGTGTGTGTGTGTGTGTGTGTGTGTGTGTGTGTGTGTGTGTGTGTGTGTGTGTGTGTGTGTGTGTGTGTGTGTGTGTGTTGATGAGAGAGAGAGGGAGATAGAGAGAGACAGAGACAGAGATAGAGATAGAAAGAGACAGAGAAAGGGTTACCAGCCTATTTGCACAACCTGTCTCAGTTAATTTTTTTCAAGCACCTGCTTACTAAAACAAAACTCACTAACTCTGCCGTCTCATTGTTTTTCGCTCTGTCCCCAGCCCCTGCCTCTGACAGTGAACGCATCAGTGAGCTGCCCAGCCTGGTAGAAAATTGGGTTTAGCTTCTTCAAAGGGACCGGCGGTAAATTCAGACCACGCCCCCTCGCTCTTCACGCAGTGACGTTGGCACGCAGCAGGACCTCCGCCACTCCGTCCGCCGCAGCAGATTCTACATCAGCCGTTCCACTCCCGTGAACCCAGGACGGGAAGCGTCCGTCAAACACGACACAAACAGCGTCTTGTTAGATAAATAGTCTCGCTTATCTTCAGTTATGGAAGCGGCATCCTCCTCCTCCAGTCAGTGCAGGTAAGACCGATAAGGCTGTTGGTGGAGGGGAGAGAAATGGGTGTCAAGGCTACCCTGTAGCATAATAGTGATATTCAAGACTGTTGAATGCATAACACCCGTGTAACAGGACGCATCTGATGCTGCACTGTGCTATTTCTTAGTTGTTTAAAGAAGCTAAGGCTACTGTAGCTAACTTGAAAGCTTTATTCAGAGGATTAGCAGCCTATAGGGGCTTTCCTCCCAAGATGACATCTCTCACTATGACGTAGTCGTGTGTCGTGTGTATACATTTAAGAGAGTATCCTCAATAGGCTGGGTCCAAAATGGGAACAAAATGGGTACAACATGCATCTCCTTTTACTCTTTTGAGCTACTCTATCAATCCCTGATGTACTGTGCAGAGGACATCCTGGTCTTTCCAGTGATATGTCATTGGTTAAAATTGCATGCTGGGAAGTTCCTCTTTCTTTTCATCCAAAATGGCTGGCATACCAAAAACAAAATGTTATAGAAGCAGGAGAAGTCAAATGTTGTTGAATAATCAAAGGGTCCGTTGTTTCGAGTCCAGCCTCTAAAGTGTCCTTGGGTAAGATACCTAACCCATAATTGCTGTAACTAAGTCAAATAAAATATCAGCTTATGTAAAAAATCAAATAAATAAAGTTGAATTCCTCTCAGTACAATGCATTTATACTCCCACTTAACATGCCAGTCTTGTGCCACCAGTTCACAGAATGCCTCAGAGTTTAGCAACAGCCCAGGCTGCACCTCTTGGCACACACAACACTGCAAGTTTGTGCAGGCTGCTGGAGGTTGTCCAAGTCTCCCGTCTGCTGCCTGAATTCAAAGTTCTGACAGCACCATGGACAGCTCCTGGAGAACCAGAGAGCTCACTTCCTGCTCTGAGTTAGCTCTCTCTGCTGTTACATAACACATAAGGCTTGTTTGAGATGAGCTGCAGCTCGCCTCGAAAGTAGACGAGAATAGCCGATTGCAGCCGGGGGAGGTCTCAAAAAGCTTGCCTGAAGTCGGACAGCTCGGAGTCGGCTTGACTCGGTTTGCAAAGGCGGAAATTGCGCTGGGGGTTCTTCGTTGAAGTGGATGCAATAGAAATCCCACAATTATTATATCACTACAAATGAATGACTCAAGTGTCTGTTCATTTTAAAACAAATCAATACAAGGGGGGTTGAATCCTACATGTAAAAGACAGAACCACTTATTACTTTTCAAGGTTCAAGGTTCAAGGTTCTTTATTGTCAAACTAACATAGCTACAGAGTAATTATGTTGTTGAAAAACTTTTTTTTCAAAACTACTTCCGTCAGTGGTCTTGACCAGTTTGCATTTATAAAGAATGCACAAATGTGTATAATCGTTAATGTCAGATATGTACTAAGTAAATACATTTGTTCCCGCTCAAGATTAGATTCAACTTTATTGTTATTGCACAGATTACAGGTACTGAGACAACAAAATGCAGTTTAGCTTCTAACCAGGAGTGCAAAAAGCAGTAAAGTGAAAAGTAATGTACACAATCTACAGAATAAAATATAGAATGAATTGAATGATGAATAAACAGTGAGGGGTATGAATACACTAGATATACACAGTAGCCTATGAGCGTAGTGTGCATGAATATGCTAAGATATATAAAGTATGAAAACGGTAAGCAGTGCAAGTATAGTATAAAATAAATAGATATTAATTTCATGATGATAAACATTGTGGAACAATGATGAAAAATGTGAATGGAAGTGGCGACGTAAAACTGACACAAAACAACAACAAACTTTTGCCGAGCCAATGGAGAGTTTCATCACCAGCACGGGGTAAAAACCACCAATGAGCGCTCAACTCGATGTACCAGCGAGTCGTTTCCCATCAAGCATTTCGCTTCTGCAGCTCGTGGAGAGAAACTGCTCCGCCTCGCTCTCAAGGCTGCCGGCGTCTTTGTCCCGCGAGATTTCAACGTCTCATGTAGTCGAGCCTGCAGAGCAAGTCGGACAAAAGGCGCCCACACACCGGAGTACTTTTACCCGTACTTTTCCCGTTTAGTTCCGTTAGTGCCTGGAATTTTGCGTTCACACCAAAAAGAGAACTTAGTTCATGAGAACTTTTCCCCCCTTTTTAGTGCCTGCTAGAGAGGTACTTTCCTGGGGAGAAAAAAGTACCAATTTCTGATTGGCTGGGCGAATTGCAAACCATGCCCCGTAAAACTCTGAACGTTTTTTTGAAGCCGCCATTGTATTTGCTGGCATTAGCATTATTAGCATTAGCATTAGCCCCGCGCACCAAACGGAGAGAGAATAACTTATGGCAACACAAAAAAAAACATGGGAGCGGTGGAGTGATGAGGAGGTGTCGGCGTTCTGGCGATTTACTCGGAAGCTGCTGGGAGTCCCAGCAGCTTCTACTGAAGCCAGTCCCCAACTCCGGGACTTCCGGCCGGGGACTTCGGGTGGCAGTATACGCCGTGAAGTTGTTTGCGGCCTGCCAGTAAACCCAAAGCAGAAGCGGAGCTGGGGGGTGAATCCTGGCCACCCTATTGGCCACCCCAAACACCCTCACCACGGGGGCCCAAACAATTTTAGAACATTAAGAAAAAAATGTTTAAGTAACCTTTCGTCATTCATCAAGAATTAACATTAATAGAACGTTATATTGATAATGTACTCACTAAACTTACAATTCATTTAACTTATTTTCTTCCAAAAGTTAATTATCCAAAGCCTCTAGTTTGTACACCCCCTTCTATTTACATGTAATGGTTTGGTCCCGCCTCCGCCTCCAAACGGCACTTTCTAGCAGAGAGTGAGAACATGTAAGGAGCAGGGATGCTAGTACTTACGTGTGTACACATGTCTCAACGACTAACAAAGTCAGGCTTTCAAAAAGAAAAGAAAGGAGAGAAAGACAAGAGAGAGGGACTAAAGGGCGACAGTATGTCACCCAGTTTTTCAAAAGAAAAGGTGGGTGTGGTCCATGAGTGGTGGAAATTAGTCTGTTAGCTAAGCGTAGTCCATTTTAAATAATAATTGTTATGTTTTTTTTTTACTAAGCTGACATTAAGTACTGTTAATATCTATAAAGAAAATTAGCTCTTTTAGCTGACATTTAACAAATGCAGGTACATTTTTAGCAGCTATTCATACTAAATCAGTTGTCCCTCCCCCTGGTGCCAGGACCAACAGATGCATCTCTTGGCTCAGCAGCCCTATCCCCCCATAATGCTGAACCTGAACCAGCTTGTCTCCCAACTGAAGGAGGTGAGCAGCATTGTGTTGAATGACATGCCACTTAACATATCTGAAGGGAGACTGGAATACAACATATATATATATCAAAACAAAAAGCTAACATCTTATTTCAATTATACATTTCAAACACAGTATTTTTCCACATATTTAAGTTATATTTATTTGGATTCATACATTCATGTTGAGAATGTTCCATTCAAAAATGTTATTATTAAAAAGGCATTTACACCATAAAAGATGACTATTGAGATCTATTGTCAGGAATGTTAGTCTTATATCAAATAGTGAATTCCACTGCAGCAGAATGTTGCACGTCTGCACAGTGTTATATTTTCACAGCTTAGTGTCAGTAAATACTGTGCGGTTAGTATTGGACTACAAGATAGATGCAAGCCTGTACAGGTTATTTAAAGCATAAATGAGTCGGTTGGGTTCTGGAGGTGTGGTTACAGCAATTGTGCTTGGTTGGCGTGGCCTGGGCCTGGTGGTGGGGCCCAATGTGGTATCTTTTCATGGGGCCCAAAATCCCTGGCGTGTAAGGCCAGAGGGCAGGACCTATAAACACATTTACTACCCAATAGCATTGTGAGGCTGAACAAAAGGACCGTTTGACTATGAGAGAATGAGCTCATACTGTAGGGCTGCTGATCACCATAAGCTAAACAGTCTGTATATTGCACTACATTTGTATAATGTAAGCTTCGTTGTTTTTGCTGGTTCATTTATATCTTATTTTACCCTTTTAAATGATTTCTGATAATCCATAAGCAATAAAACTGCTTTTCCGTTTCCAGATGTCAGAGCTAAAGATAGGTTCGCTCTGATGCAAAACTGCATGCGCGAAGCCCCCACCTTTTCTTTTCACAATGAGTGTGTGTGGGGGACTCCCCCTTCGATTCTATTGGCTCTAACGGTCAGAAAGAGGTATCAACCATCAAAAGGGGGCAGAGATATGGAAAATCCACCCAAATGACCCCAGAAGTGGTTTGCTAAATCTCTCTAAAAAGGTCAAATGTCACTTGTTTTGCATCAATCTTGATACAGGGTACTTATTATATGTTGTACTTTGGATTCCTAAAGCTTTTAGTCTACCTTACCATCATCCAAGGGTAGTTTTCACTATAAGTAAAAAATCATTTTTGGACGGACACTATAATTTACAGTTTTTTACTATGTAAAATCTGAATTTTCTTTAAAATAAAAAACATCTATATTGATTCTGACTGTTCTACATCCAACTCACAGGTTTATCATTACTTTGAGAAAAAAGATTATTAATTTAACCCTTTTAGAAGGGAAGATATGGTCATTTGTTCTGGTAATGTCATTTTCGAGTCTGAGACCTGAAAAACAGGCTCAGGGCTTAACAGGTTAAATAAGCAAAATAAAGGAGGAAGACACAACTGTATTTTATAAATACACAAATGAATAAAGAGGTCTTCATTACTAAAATATAATGTATAAATGTACAATAGACTGAGGCTATGATTTATATCTGTCTGCTGTTAAATACTTTATAATCTATGCCTACTGGTTTCAAAGTCACATGACCTGCCTGATGTTTTGATGTAAAGAAGATAAAATTAACATTTGGCCTTTGTTAGTTTTAACTAATAAACTAATACATATCAGCCTAGCTTCTCTACTATTTCCATGTTCTTCAAATCATTTTTAAATTGTCTTGACATAATATGACTGAAGGTTTTTAAAATTCTATGAAAACAGTTTCACTCATATTCAACCCACAAATCAAAACCTT